GGCGACAACGGTGTTTACAGAACGTGTATAAAACTTCTATACACGAACGATCCGCCAAGCAGCGGCTGAAGCTGAAAGTCGCCAAGTCGCAAAGGCGCTGACCGCCCGATACTATACTCCTGGCCTACGAGCGCGTATCGGGTACTTCTTGTGGTGGTTATTTCCGACCGCTGTCAGCTGTGCGCTGAGTGCTGTGCGCCCGCCAGACTGCGGGTAGGCAACCCGGCCGCGCGCGCGCGGTGCTGCTGCCTACCCCGCGGGCGGCGGCCGGCCGGGCCGACCTCGCGCAGCTCTACGCGTAGCTCTACGCGCAGCTCTACGCGCAGCACTTCCGGTCGCGTCGCCTTGGAGCTTGTGAAAGTAAAATAAGTAATACCCGTCGGCCGCGACCCTTTTGTGGGGCGGCGTGCCCCCGCGGTAACTAATCCCTCACTTGTGACAAGCGGCGAGGTCGTGGGGCCGGCGCCACGGCGGGGCGAGGTCGGCCTCGGTCGGGTCGCACGGGCAGGTCGCACCTACGCTGCATGTTTTATGAGGGGTCCTGGCAGAAAGCGCCCCCCTCCCTCCCCTTTCAACCCCCCGACGCCCCTCTGGCTGACTCACTCCTCGGAAAAGTCAAACAAGCGCGGAGCGCCTCGGCGGGCGTTTCGCACTGCAGCAGAGGTTCCATCCGGGCCGGGGCGACGCCTTCACCCCCTGCTCAATTCCCCTACCGTCCCCTCCCCAGCACCCTAGACTCTTTTCACTGCAGAGGTAGAGGTGCCAACCGACACTGATTTGGGTCAGATAGCGCTGAATCAGATTCCAACAGATGTCACTAACACCGCGAAAATTGTGCTCGAAAATTTACATTTGTCCTAACTTTTAATTAATAAATGTGTCTAAACTTGCAAAGCCCACGCTTGCTTGGTGATTAACTTCAATTCGATGCGAAGTGCTTGTAAATGAACAACTTGAAATTAATATTTTACGACACACCATTCTGGAAAATTTTCCCGTAAACCTACGACTATTTTTCACAGTGCTCATATTCCTATCACCTTCGCATATTACTTTAAACATTATGCCGTAAGTAGCTGCGTTTTCGTTTACCCACTCCTTTGCGGTAAAGCTTGATGATGATAAACTCCTCCACTTTAGACAAATCTCTCAAAACTCGACGGAAGATGGCACGGAGAAAGTAAAAAGTCTCACAAAATTAGCAGCAATGACTCCGAAGACGACGGGGGGGCCAAACTCGTTGGAAGAGAAACACGCCGCGCACCACGCCGCGAGCCAAAATCATGAATATGAATGCCACCAGCGAGGGTAATGAAGCGGAAATGTAAAGTTACAGGGGATGCGGCGTGGCAATGACGAATTTACTTCGTCATAAAAAAAGGAGTAAAAATGAGGTGAATTATTTTTTTCTTATC